TTTCAAGCAATATGTGTTTGTTGCCAAAGTTTTAAAAACATTTAACCACTGAACCATTGACCGGAGGGCAGCCACGGGCTAAGCCGCTTCAACCCGAGTTTGCTGAAGTGCTAAACCCAGCTTTGGACAGAAGTAGCTACTGCAGATACAGAAAACAACACTTTCTTCATTTCAACTTATTGGCCTAGCTCAGTTCAGTGACTTTAAAACTAAGAAACATTTTGGGGATTGAAGACTAAGAGAGGCCGTCTTCCTCTTACCATCTCTCAATAAAGTGAGGCAAAGGAAAAACGCTAGGTCTAAAAGCCTGACAGACACTTTGACCAAAAGCAATTAGTCTAATTAACTAACAACTGATAATACTTCCTTTGGTTAATAAATCAGCTCGTTTAAAATGCAAAACCTATTCTGATCATTTTTTCTTACCTGCTTTCTACACTGAAGGTAATTCTATTTTAATTTTTTTTTAAATTGTGAAATAAATTTCAGGTCTTTCCCAAATAGAGCTTGGCAAAAATAATACCATATTAAGTTAGGAAAAAGGATGAATGATTCATCTTTTTCCAAAAACATACTACAAAATAGAAATTAAGAAGCTACATAACTGAGAGTTAAGCGAGTTAAAGGAATTGAGATACAGCAGGTCTTCCTGCTCGCAAAAAGTAGTGCTAAAATAACTTACAAATCAACTTGTTACGAGACAGGACAATAAACCTCTCTAAGAAATTAACTAAAAATATAAAATTAAACAAAGTATTTAAATTAACATTTATTTAAATACTAATTAAAATGAGTGATTTAAAAGCAAACAACCATCCTTGAGAGTCCTTCAGTCTTGGTGTTCCTAAGTGCTATGAAAACTTTTTGGTGCTACAGAAATAAAACAGTGAAAAAAACCCCTAAAGGTGAGAAACAGCATGAGTGAGAAGTTGCCCCTAATTTTGCAGCTGACAATTAATTGAATTCTACAGACAGGTGCTTGGTATCTAAACACTTGTCAGGTAGAAGTTTACATATTTGCACTACACCCACAAAAAAAATAAATAAATTTAAAAAAATCACAAAAAAAAAAATCAAAAAAACAAAACAAAAAAAAAAAAACATTGGTGGTACTGGAGAAGAAAGAGCAGGAACTGTAGTACACTTGTTAATTAATAAAATACTTCAAGTTTTGCTAAAACACCAGCGAGGTCCATCAGTTAGGATGATAGATAAATGTACCACAACCAAACTGGTCTCTGCATATCTGTCCACTGGGTCAGAATTAGCTTGTTCTACTTTACCAGCAAAAAAAACTGTCACTCCCAAGAGCTATTCTAACACTTGAAAAGCAAAACAGGCTTACAGGTCATTTATACTCGACAGAAAAGCAGGTTAAAGATAGACAAGAAAATCAAACTGTTCTCTGTCTCACGCTGAGTTTTCAAAAAAAATCCCCTAGGGAAACAAATACTGTTGGGTTTTTTTATTTCCAAAATGAATGCATTTGAATTCCATGTTTTGATAATATCTGAACAATGTTTTTGCATCGGCGATTTTCTAACTACGTATAAGGATGTGGTATTAAGATCAGTGCTTAATTTTTCTTTCATATAAAGGTGAAATTTCACACCCACTTGCATTATTTTTCTTTTTAAATTTGTGCCACATTAGAAATCCATTTGGAAGTTGCAGCCCTGTCAGCAAGCATCTTTAACAAACAGATCTAGAAAATCACAGGTGCTATCGTATGACCGGAAGCAAATGTAGTACGTGCACTTGAGAACGGGGAGGTGGAAAGAAACTGATGATGCAGAGACATAATCTGACCTCAATCATTTTCAAGACTTTCAAACAAAATTTTGAAAGTGAGAATAATCGAAGATATGGAGGTAAATGGAAAATGGAACATGGTACAGAAAGCCAGACCTGATACCTTAAAGAAAGATAGCTAATTTTCTAGAGAAACGTAAGACACAGCACATTTTCCAACTCATTTTTCAGCTTTTGATGGAGTATTACATAGAAATATCTGGACGGTGAGGCATGGTACAAAGGCTGTAAGAACCCCAGACCGGCCAGAACTGTGGGTACAGAACTGGCTAGCAGGGAGATAACAGCTGGAAATGGAGTATCAACCAAGAGGGACACTACTGGAAGACTTCTTCAAATACCTGACTGGAGACCAATCTTCATTACTGTTTTGATTAACGACCCTAACACAAAAAGAAGGTACTAATGAAATGTTATGATGGTAAAAAACAAGGAGACATTGTCAATAGACAGGAGAAGTAGGATAAAGTATAGAATAATTGGAAAAAATTGAAATGGGGTGCCGTTTAAAAGCACAAAGTGCAGTCATATACTTAGGGAAGCGGTTATCAACCTTTTTAGGCCCAAGGCACCCCCTGTAAATGCCAGCGCTCAGCTTTCACTCATTTTTTTGATTAAGAAAAAATAATAGAGCAATTCTTTTGTTACGAAGAATTCAGAAAGACCACAATAGGTCAGAAGATTTTTCACATTACAGGCTCCTATTTGAAGTCTCTAGGTTTACCTTGTGAATTGTGTGTAGATATTTGCATACCTAGGAGTGCTAATATTGTGTGGCACCCTGTGACACTTAACAAAACGTCACAACATCCCAGGGTGCCACCAGCATCCTGGTCAAGAACCACAGACTCAGAGACTAGTAAAAACTTCTGCTAGAAGTTGTTGGGAGTTCATTCTAGACATCCGGAAACTAAACATTAATGGGAGTTCATTATTTGGAAACTAGAGAAGAAAAGGACCACCTCGTGCCAACTAATCAAAGGATGCCCACGATGCCCCGTGATGATGAAGCCACCATAGTCAAAAACATAATTACGTGCTGGACTGGCATGAAGGCCATGACAATGCCCTTTCACCAAGATGAAAAAAGATGCTGGAGCTTCATCTTTGCACCCAGCCACCTATGCCCTTTTTAATACAGCCTCTCATGATAGAATAGGAGCACTATCCCTCTGCTTCATGAAACAGGGTGAGTTTTTATTTCCTGTTCAGACCAACACTTTATAGCACACCCACTACCATATGACAATGTGGGCACAGAACGCAGGACCTTCAGCACAGCTTTCTACCCGTTTTGCTAAATCAATTGCTCTTCGCTGACAGCTGTAGTTGGCACTCTTT